ACAGTGGGAGCAGCTGTTTCATCGAGTGAAATGGTGGTGGCTCAATTTGATGAGGTTACTATCGGGACGACAGTAGAGTCCCTCGAAATCGAGTTCGACCAGGCCAAGTACGAAGAATACTTGTCCTCCTCCTCCTCGGGTGGCAATGCGTCCCGCAAACGCCACAGAGCTGTGCGCCGAGGCCGACCTCAGACGGTCAAAGCCTCCGCACCCGAGGGTTCCAACCGAGTCTCATCGGAGGAGCCCACTCCCTCGCGATCGATCAAGGCCAAGCCAGAGATCGAGCGCAAGAGGCAAGGGTCTGCCAGATGGATCGCCAAGCGGTCCACACAGACACCTACCTCGGAGGAAGCGCCGGTTCACTCTGGCACAAACCGCAATGCCACAACCCACGGTGACGTTCTCCCCGCTGGGAGAACTAACCAACAGCGACGGCAAACACCCGTCAGACAGGGGGTCCAAACCTCCATTTCTCATAATGGCCTGAACCATCACACAGGCCCGAGAAACACTAGACGGGAAGGCAAGCTGCCCGACCTCAGAAGGCCCTCCAAATCAGGAGCGTCAACCGAGGACAGCAGAGCCATCCGCTCAGGAGGACTTCGCTTCTCAGGTCATATCCCTGATGCGAACAAACCACACCGAGCATACGAGCTTACCCAAGTAGGCGAATCCTCGAAGGCTGGCGAGCCTCGCCATAATCATTTGGCGGATAAACGTAAAGGAAAGGAAATAGGCGGTTCCTCCCGAACCCGCTCTTCTAAACATGGGGTCGAAACTCGCCCACGTACTGGAGTTCGCTCAAACGCGAAGACTCGCCAGTCAAGGCGAGATCGCCTGACTCCAACACCAAGGCGTTCCACCCAACACGCGCCAGAGAGAGCGCCCAAAAATCTCTCGTCAGCTCACCAGAGCGACTCTTCTGAGGCCGGGGGTTGTCACCAGCCACCCGTAGAAGACCTCAGAGAATTCTTGACTCGCAAACGCACTATTCACGAGGCGAATCCTCAGTGTCATTGTGAGAGACTCATCCACACGGTCCTCGCCGACTGCCAATGCGTTGGAACGGCGAAACCTTCGGTATTTGAGAGGCTTTCTCAACAGGCCTCTCGACCGAGGCCCTCCCGTCGAAGGCGCCGTCACCAGAAGAGACGCGCTGCTGACGACCGGGAACTCTCATCCGCCACAGTCAACATGACGGATAAAGGGAAGGCGGTACTCTCCGACTCGCCAGACTCGGACTCCGTCTTAAGACCTAACACCCGGTCTGCCCGACGCCGGCAGGAAGGCATATTCCAGCGAACCCGTAGTCGCCGGGGGGTAAGTATTGGGTTTGACTATTCCACCCTAATACCTCCCTCCTGCGGCGAAGATGAGGTTCATTCGGCGGCGGCCACGTCCCAGACCTCGCGCTCAAGTCAAGACGCGCAGGCGAGGGCGCACATGACCGATACCAACCACGAGCAGACAATGGCTCAAAAGTTGGAGGCACAGCAGGCGACCATCGACTCTCTAAGAGAGATGATGGAGCAACTGCTGAGCAAGAAGAAAAAGAAGGGAACCCAACGTCCCTTGCCCCGGCAGACTAGGGATAAAGAATGGGTACCACCTCACCGTCCAGCGGCTGAGACGGAGGATGATCGACAATCCGATTACTCCTCCAAAACATCGATAGGAACGTCGCACACCGCGGATAGCACCCGTGACAAAAGATTCGACGAGTTCCAGGACCAACTGAACGCGCTGAAGCTTCAGCAAAACATGAACAAGCTGGGGGTGGTACGTCCCTACCCTATCGAATGGGACACGGTCCCATACCCAGCGAAGTTCAAGCCTATCAGTTTGGTGCAGTTTGATGGCAAGGGGTCACCCTCGCAACATATCTATTACTTCATGGCGCAGACCGGATTCCTCACCGGGAACGACGCCATTCTCACCCGACTATTCATAGGTACCCTCAAGGGGGTGGCCTTTGAGTGGTTCCGCAAACTGGAGCCTGGCTCCATCAAGGCATGGGCCGACGTCGAAAAGCTCTTCCTCGCCCACTTCTTCGACGACGACACGGAAGTGTCAATGGCCACTCTCCTCGCGGAGAAGCAGCGCAAGTCGGAATCAGTTAACGACTTCGTGAAGAGATTTCGAAATCGATCAGTCCACTGTCGAGACCAAGTTTCCGAGGCGATGCTGATCGAGATGTGCCGCAACAATCTGTCGATCCACATCCTGTCCAAAATAGGGGCAGTTGAAACCCGGACTTGGAAGGAACTTGTTCGCCAAGGCGAGCAAGTTGAAAATATGATCAAGAGGCTGGAGGCCGAAGAGCCACAGTCCAAAAAGGGAGCAGCAGAACCAGCGGCGCCAAAGAACCCTCCTCGATCGAAGGGAAAAGAGGCTATGGCCGTAGACTCTGCCGCGGCGCCAAAGTTCGTTCAAAAGCCGAAACCCAGGCAATTTGAACCGCGTCCCCAGCGGCAATATGATTTCAAAGAAGACCAGGTAGTGGCGACTCTCGACACTCTACTCAAGAGTGGGCGAATTAAGTTGCCAGAAGCCGCCAAGGCTGAGGAGGCGGACAAAACCGGTGACCCAAGTTACTGTGCATATCACAGATTCCTTGGTCATCACACAACCAAGTGCTACGTCCTCAAGGACAAACTCCAGGCCCTCTACGACGCGGGGGTCTTGAAGAAAGAGAAGGTCCAAAAGCAAGTGACGGCGAACATGATCACTTTGAGCTTTGGGACGGGTCTCCCGGAGGTTCAAGCTCCGGCGGGGATAATTCCTATCCCCAAGGCGGTTTGATCCTCACAACCAGCGGGAAAAGGGTTTGGTTCCACAAACTCTGCCATCAGGGCAGGTGATGTGGGTCCATCCGGACCTCCTCGATGACGAGCAGTGGACTGCACAGCCTTCCAAGGAGGCTAAGAGGAAACATTGCAACGTTGTCTCCGCCATCCTGGATAGAGATGACGCGGCGATGACTGCCTTAACCGACTCTGAAGAAGACGCCAACGTCTTCGCCACAAGAACCGGAAAGGAGTTCGCGAAAGAATATCCCGCGAGGGGAGAAAACCCGGCAGGACCTCCCGCGAGGCCAG